GGCCTCACTCTTTTTTAGTTTGAAATAAAACAAAGCTGCACCAAGAAAACATTTCCAGCAGAGGCAACGAGTGCACTACGACTCCAAGGCAGGTAAGTGTGGAATAAATGTCATCCATTTTCTAACCCATAGACCAATTAACGTGTTAATGAAGGTCACTACATGAAACTGTAACAATAAGTGTCTTGTGTTATACTGCTCTATCCAACTATCGCCAAAACCTACAACAGTTTCACCACGTCAACTCCGGACATTAGCCAGTCTACATCCTACTCATATACGGATCCACATTGCTCTAGTCCTGGCTGGGTTAGGCAACCTTCAGCACTTCACATGGTGTGGACCACATCTCCCATTATGCTCTAACAGCTGTAATGCTGGCAAAGCATCATGGGAGATGTAGTCCTCAACGTATGGATTGCTAACTGTTGCCTTTCAATGATCTGGTAAAATACAGCTGTATCACATCATTCTGTTGACTAACCAGTCCCTGACCTTTACTCAATATTGTCCTCCTAAGTATAAAGATGATAAAAATGATAATAATCCCTGCTCTACTCCTTCTGTCTGTATGTCTGTCTGTCTATCTATTTGTATCTATTTATCTCTCTGTTTATCTATCTCTCTATCTATCTGCCTGCCTGCCTGCCTGTCTGTTTGTCTATCTATCTATCTATCTATCTATCTATTTGTCTATCTATCTATCTATCTATCTATCTATCTATCTATCTATCTATCTATCTATCTATCTGTCTGTCTGTCTGTCTATCTGTCTGTCTGTCTCTCTCTCTAGCTCTCTGTTTATCTATCTATCTGTATCTATTTGTCGGTCTGTCTATATCTGTATATCTATATAGGTGATTGAGTTTCTGTATTTATGTGAAGAGTCTAAGATTATGTCGGTTTTATTACAAATGCATTAAAGTATCTGTAAGAGTTTAGAGATGTCTTACAGAAAAAGCCATCTAGCGCTGAATATCTGAACTTGCTTTAATCATGAAATTAAGGCTTCATCATTTCACAGTTTGGATCATCAATAGCCGCAATCTAGGAGTGGGAAGATTTAGCCGTAACAATTCAATTTATGTAATGGAGACATTAATGTACCCTGTGTTACTGCACCCTGATTAATAATATAGCACTCAGAGTAAAATTAGATATTCCCTCCGATCTGCCTTAAAAATATAAAATAGGAAGTAAATGCAGTGAGGCAGGAGCCTTAAGTAAAGGATAAGATAGACTCTATATATTATATTAATGGCCAAACAGGAGCTGCGATGTTGGTTCACTTATTCAACGTAATAAATAGTCTGGGACGCTAAGTAAAATTTAAAAAAGTAAAAATAATAAAATGCCTTTTTATCTACACAGCAGCAACCATCTATATCTACAGGAAGTTTTTCATAAAAACTAAAAGTGGCAAATTAATCTCTGCATTTCCAGCTATTCGTATATATAAAAAGTTCAAAGTGGAACATTTCAATTAACTCAAGGAGATTCAAATCACAGGATTGTCCTATGCATGTATCCAATACACAATAGACAGACAGGCACATGGAAATATAGACAGACACACAAAAGATAGACAGACTGAGAGATAGATAGATAGATAGATAGATAGATAGATGGACAGATAGGTAGATAGATAGACAGATAGATAGACAGATAGATAGATAGATAGATAGATAGATAGATAGATAGATAGATAGATAGATAGATAGATAGATAGATAAATAGATAGACATTTGCCTCCAAGATCCTCGAGAGAGTTGTCTACGCCAGATTGACAGACTTTCTCGAATCCAACTCTCTGCTTGACCCCCTTCAGTCTGGATTCCGCGCTGGTCACTCTGTCGAAACTGCTGTGACCAAAGTATCCAACGATTTAATTGCTGCTAAATCTCGCGGCCAATACTCTATCCTAATCCTCCTTGATCTTTCTGCCGCCTTTGACACTGTTGATCATCAACAGCTTCTTTGCATTCTCCGTAATTTTGGTCTACGGGATTCTGCTCTCTCCTGGTGCTCCTCCTACCTCTCCCAGCGCTCCTTCAGTGTTTCTTTCTCTGGCTCTGCCTCTTCTCCCCAACCCCTCCCTGTCGGTGTCCCCCAAGGTTCTGTCCTCGACCCCCTACTGTTCTCTATCTATACTGCCTCCCTTGGTAAACTCATCAGCTCCTTTGGCGTCCAATACCATTTATATGCAGATGACACGCAAATCTACCTGTCCTCCCCTGATCTCTCTCCGCCCACCTTGACTCGTGTTTCTGACTGCCTCTCTGCTATTTCCAACTGGATGGGTGCTCACTTCCTTAAACTCAACCTGTCCAAAACAGAACTTCTAGTTTTTCCTCCCTCAAGTGCTGCTACTCCTGTGTCTGTCGCCATCCAAGTCAACGGCGCTACTAGTACCTCTACCTCCCAGGCTCGCTGCCTAGGAGTTCTTTTTGATTCTGATCTCTCTTTTACTCCCCATGTTCAATTGATAGCCAAATCCTGTCGCTTCCAACTCAAGAACATAGCGTGCATCCGCCCATATCTAACGCCGGACGCGGCTAAGGTACTGGTTCATGCTGTTGTTCTCTCTCGCCTTGACTATTGCAATCCCCTTCTCACCGGTCTTACATGTTCCCAGCTTGCACCGCTGCAATCTATAATGAATACGGCTGCGAGGCTTATTTTCCTGTCCGGTCGCACCTCCCACGCCTCCACGCTCTGTCAGTCCCTGCATTGGCTTCCAGTTAGATATAGGGCCCAATTCAAAATTCTGGCGCTTGCTTACAAATCCCTACATAATGCTGCTCCAACATACCTATCCTCCCTCATACACAAGTATGTCCCGTCGAGACCCCTGCGCTCAGCCCAAGACCTACTCCTATCCTCTGCCTGGATCCCCACCTCTGATGCTCGCCTTCAAGACTTCTCCAGGGCTGCACCTATTCTGTGGAACTCCCTTCCCCCCTCAATCAGACTTTCACCCAGCCTCCATTCCTTCAAAAAATCTTTGAAAACTCACTTCTTTATTAAAGCATATCAATTAAACTGTCAGCAGGTTTCTCATCCCCCACCCCATGACTCCGTTCCTGTACCTGTCAAAAATGACCTACCAAGCACTCAATAAACCCTTCTGTAACAAACTATTTAATTCCCCTACTTTAACTATTTGTGTCACTATACCCCACTCCCTCTAGCACGTAAGCTCATCGAGCAGGGTCCTCAACCCCCTCTGTTCCTGTACGTCAGTGGTCTGATCTCGATTATGTGTCTGTTAGTCCACCCATTGTACAGCGCTACGGAACTTGTTGGAGCTATATAAATAATAAAATAATAATAATAGATAGACAGATAGATAGATAGATAGATAGATAGATAGATAGACTGAGACAGACAGACAGATAGATAGATAGATAGATAGATAGATAGACAAACATATATAGATAGATAGATGGACAGATAGATAGATAGATAGATAGATAGACAGACATATATAGATAGATGATAGATAGCTAGCTAGATAGCTAGCTAGCTAGATAGATAGATAGATAGATAGATAGATAGATAGATAGATAGATAGATAGATAGGTAGATAGATAGATAGATAGACAGACAGACAGACATAGATAGATAGACAGACAGACAGACAGACAGACAGACAGATAGATAGATAGATAGATAGATAGATAGACAGACATACAGACATAGATAGATAGACAGACAGACAGACAGACAGACAGACATAGATAGACAGACAGACAGACAGATAGATAGACAGACAGACAGACATAGATAGATAGATAGATAGATAGATAGATAGATAGACTGAGACAGACAGATAGATAGATAGATAGATAGATAGATAGATAGATAGATAGATAGACAAACATATATAGATAGATAGATGGACAGATAGATAGATAGATAGATAGATAGATAGATAGACAGACATATATAGATAGATGATAGATAGCTAGCTAGATAGCTAGCTAGATAGATAGATAGATAGATAGATAGATAGATAGATAGATAGATAGATAGATAGATAGGTAGATAGATAGATAGATAGACAGACAGACAGACAGACATAGATAGATAGATAGACAGACAGACAGACAGACAGACAGATAGATAGATAGATAGATAGATAGACAGACATACAGACATAGATAGATAGACAGACAGACAGACAGACAGACAGACAGACATAGATAGACAGACAGACAGACAGATAGATAGACAGACAGACAGACATAGATAGATAGATAGATAGATAGATAGATAGACAGACAGACAGACATAGATAGACAGACAGACAGACAGATTGATAGATAGATAGATAGATAGATAGACAGACAGACATAGATAGATAGACAGACAGACAGACATAGATAGATAGATAGATAGATAGATAGATAGACAGACAGACAGACAGGCATAGATAGATAGATAGATAGATAGATAGATAGATAGATAGATAGACAGACAGACAGATTGATAGATAGATAGATAGATAGATAGATAGATAGACATACAGACAGACATAGATAGATAGATAGATAGATAGATAGACAGGTAGACAGACAGACAGATAGACTGAAGGATGGACAGATGGCAGACAGACGGACAGACAGGCAGACAAGCAGACAGATGGACGGACATACACACAGGCAGATAGACAGACTGATAGATAGATAAATAGATAGATATTTTTGCCCACATTTGACACGATTTGGCCAAGCAGAACCTCTCTACCTGCATGAGCACACATGATATTGCTGTTGTGAAGGATGTGGGTATTTTTGTGAAATATGACACTTTGAAGCAATATTGAGTTAAAGCGTGACAGTATTTACTGTAAATGTAACATTTCCGTGTGATGCTGAAGGAGAAATCCGCCACTTAGTAAATAATCCAACTGTGAATGAAAGCTTGCTCGGGCGCTGTGTGTTAAGGCCCTTTAGATTAGGTCCAGGGTACTTTGTGAAATGTCACTCCTTTAATAGACACTGCTGAAACAGGGTCAGCAGCCGAAAATGAAGAGAAATCCTCCTTTTATACCTTGGGATTCAAAATACAAAACTGGAAAGGAAGGTTCAGGCCCTCCTGGGAGATAGACACGGGTGACCTTTTTAAAGTGAATGCATCAGTCTCCCTCAGAAGTCAGTCTCAAATCCAGAAAAGGCTAACGTTGGGCTGCACTCAATTAGGTCGACACACAGTGTTCCGGAGACACTCAGAGATTGCCACTGTGTCTCACTCTCTAACAATAGCGGACACCGGAGCTGCAGTTATAAATGTACATACACTGACCTCATTTCTTTACACACTTTATCTTTTATGGAAGTATTTTGCCTCATATTTCACTATTTCTCCTCTTACCCACTAATAACTGCATTAACCATGTCAGTGTCTGGATACTCTGGGGCCTATCTAACTTCTAATCCTTGGAGGAGCCATTTTGATTGACTGGCCTGTTCCAGACAGTTACCTTGTATTATTTAATCACTTCCTGTTCTGTGAATGTGTTTATTATATTGTTTTTGTATTAAGTCAAGCGTTTGATTATGAATCTTAAGCTTTTAAACCATCACTGTGTGCTGCACATCAGATAAGGGAATATGGCAATCATATTTTTTTCCAACAGTCTTTGTTGGAGTAAACCAGCAGCAATCGCACCTGTTGTCTGGGTCACTTTTTTCAGAATGTTCCTCTGGCCCCTTCATGCTCTTATTTTGACCTACAGCCTATGGGTACAAATACAGAACTGAAACTGACACCCAAGTAATGGAGTTCTAAAGCCATTTATGTTCTGTGTAATCGCTTCGCCCTCCAACTGCTCGTTGATGCCTACAAACTATTTTACTGTATGATTGTTTGTCCTAGAACTTCATACACATCACATTTCTCACTTAAAGTGACACTCTACGGCTTGTATCATGCAGTGGTTTTGGTGCTGAGATATGTACCTGCATTGCATGAAGTGTAAGCATTGCTGTTTGAGAGAAAAGGCAAAGTTTACCTTTGTCAGTCTTCTAGCGGTTAATCAGACAATCAATCAGCCAATCAAACAATTGGTACATTCTAAAGAGGACTCTAACAAATGTACAGTCTTCATGTTTGGTGTCATGACGACACCAAGAGCAGGTAAGAGAAGTAAGATAAGTATGCTTCTCTCGGTGGAGAATCCTATTGGCGCAACACATTGATAGTCTACAAATGCGTAGCAGGGACCTCAATGAGAGAAGCATTTGGGTGGCCAAGATCATCCATCTAGATCAGGCATAGGCAACCTTCGGCACTACAGATGTTTTGGACTACACTTCCCTTTGATGCTTTGCCAGAATTATGGATGTGAGAGCATTATTATCCTCAAATGAAGGAGTAGCGACGTCCACTGCAATCCCAAGACATTGCTCGATAAAAGGCAATTGTAGCTTTTTAACTTTACTTTCTACAGGGCGCCCTGAAGGCAACAGAAGCATTCTAACATTACAAATACATATCTGTGTTGCTGAGTTAGTAAACACCAGTATGCTTTTTTTGGCAAAAAGTCCAAATGTTGAGAATAGAAAATATAAACAATATTTGGTGCCTAACGTCAGTCGGGCTCAAGGCAGCATTACACCAAACGGCAAGATATCAAAAACCAGATCCGGAAAGAAACAACGGGGCTAACATGATAAATGTATATTGAGATAGCTCTTCATTTACATTTTTACTTAATTGTGATTATGTTATTAACTGGTTTTGTTTCTTTGTATTTGTTTTTACTTTGTTTGTTCTAATAAAGCAACGTAACACTTGGATAGAGAAACAGTAATACATTTATAGTATACCGAATCTAAAAGACATTTATTTTATTTATAGTGATTGGCAAGGGGCAGACGATATACTTTCTGCAACGCAAAACAATCCTGTGTTATTTACACTGCGGAGGAAATTAAACTCCAGGGGGCTCAAGATCTCATTTCTAAATGTGCCCAGGAGGAAAGTCCACTGGGTACAAAATGTCTACAGAAGGAAAACACTAAGCAAACAATAAACAGAAGGAAGATAAACTTCATAATTAAAAAAAGCCAAACCAGCAAACAGAAAATGTAATTACAATCATTGAACGGCAGCTGGGGTCAGATCTTATGAAGAACTTTTAACCCTTTCATCACTGCAGGACACTGATGAGAAGATCCCAGAAGCATTTGTGACAGGCGCCTCGATAGTCTGTAAACTATAAATCATTTATATCAATGTCAGTGTGTCGTAATTAAAGGTATCGTTGTATAATCTGCCTCAAAAGCAATTAAGTATAACTAGCAATGCTCTTTAGGCTATAGTTTACCATCTTAAATGTTTGTTTGAAATGATTGAATAATTATGTCTTCGAGGATACAGCATTTTTAAAAGGAGCACAGTGTACCACTTGGTAATTACTGACTACTCAGAGAGTCTTTAAATACATCCTCCCTGTCCATACAAATCTAAATCTTTGCCATTTTCATTAAAAATCTATCAGCATCAGTATTATGAGTGATATTTTTTTATTTAAATTTGAGAGCCAGCTGGGAGAAAAAAGATAGGTGCAATGAGCAAACACTCCACCACTGAAATAAAAAAAACCTCACTGTTTAGTAGATACACTCCCAATGAAAACATGTATGCATTTAATTACATATTTTTTTTTCAATAAGGTATATCTAAAAACAGTTTGTAAAAATTTCATATCTCTTGTCTGCAGCCTTTGCAAGCCCTCCCCTTCTAACCCCGCCCAGACTTTCTGTTGCTGTCCAATCACAGACTTCCCAATGCAGCTCAATGAGAAGTCTTTGCAAGGCAGGTGCTCTGGGGAATGGCTGCCTCTTGAGTTTAGCTCCACTGAGCTAAACAAACCAGGAAGTAACAGTAACAGGTTGTCTGATTGACAGCAAGAGGGGTGTAACAAGGTCAATTTATAAATGTGTTAATTTATATTGAAATCTGCATTTTTTATAAAACAGACACAATCCACACAAACAGCACTTCAAGGAGCTGAAGTACTGTAGGTGTTTGGAGTGTTACTGTAAGGTTAAGAAAAAAGTCACTAAAATTCAGATATTTCCCAACTCATTTTATTTTACCAAACTATATGCTACAGAAAATTCCAATCTGATTGGCAAAAATGTCTACACTATATTTATAGCTGAGTTGGAGAATTTGTTGCAGGCCAAATCTTGCCATTCAGAGCTTATTTTATCTCAAATCTAAATTTAGTCAATGACTCTGACTCGCTTATTCTCTGAAGTACGAATTGAAATACACCATTGAATTAACAGCATAATAAAATCAGACCACAATCAAAATGTTACGGTTTGTCTGAAAGAGAAAAATAAAATAATACAATCAGATTGCAAGAGCTCCACTCGATTTGGCGCCCAGCCTGTGACCAAAATGACCAACATTTCCAGTGGAAAGAATGCTAGAAACTAGACTATAACTTGGTCTACAACTTGTTCTGCTGAGAGTTCTGGGAGTTGCAGTCCTCTTCACTTTTAGTGCGCACATTAGGTACAGTGAACATAGTTGACCCCTATGCAATAAGAGCATGACATTAGAATACGGGGTACACTGCTGTACCCAAAACTAAAATGATGTGATCCATTCTAAATGACGCTATAATGGCACTGAGCGCTTTTTTAATTCAGCATGTTGTGAAAGTCGCTGTTTAACATTCCCATGAGTTACACAGTGAATCCCTCTCTGGTATTTAAAGTGTTAAGTGCGTTACAGCGGCCATGGATTCACCCTCCAAAAACATGCTAACAGCTCGTTCAAATCTGCGGCTGGCCAGATGCTGCGTTAGTTCAGCATTGATTATTTCACTGCATTTTAATTGACAATGTGCTCAGTTATGTGCAATCTAATTACAGAATAGCCAAGTGTTGCATAGATATGTAAATATGTCGAAAAAATTTGTTCTAACCAGCACTTTCGGGGGAACTGATGGTATTTGCCATTTTGGGAGCATTTGGCAGACGTCTGATCTCCCCGGAGGATGCTGTTTGCAGTAAAATGATCTCACGGTTTTTCCTTTCACGTTTCCCGATCCAGTTCAGATGCTTTCACTGTGTATAGAGTTTACCTGGGGTTTGGTTACAGTGTCTGTTTCTATTTGTTGGAACGCAGCATCAATGAAACAGCTGATCCCCTCTTGACTTTTTTATGGTCGAAGAAATGAGTCTTCACATTCCTGCAAACTCGGGGCATTGTTAGTACTTAAACCACATATCCGTCCTTTCAGATATTGTCTATTTGTTTGACTTTGTGATGTCTATATTTGGTTCCCACTGATGACCAGACATGAGTATTTATGGAAGAATCCAAATCACTTTGTATTTTGTGACATTGTTGAAATACGGTAAGTCTTGTGATGAAGTTGATGATGAGATAACTCTTTAAATAAGACTTTTTACATTCCTCACACCTTGTGCAGATTCTATAAAGATGGGATTTTGGAAGCTTTGCCGTATTAATGCTATGTAGGCCATTGTTTGATGAGACTCTTACCAAAACTTCCAAAGCTGTGTCTGGTAAATTATGGTGTCAAACGTCTTTTTTATTGTGCATCATCAAAATACTAATATAATCGCCCACATTTATGCCAAGGAGCAGTTTTGCTGAATTTCTCTGCAGTTGTTGAGGCTTTCGAGAAAGTTTAATGTACAAATGAAAGGTTCCTGTGCTAATTAAGGGCAATGGATTTACTCTAAAGACTTTTGTATGAGAATACAATACCCATTTTAACATTCTATGTTTCACATTGTTAGCTATTGGTATGGTACAGGTAGCTTTGCCAGGGAAATCATAATACGCTGCTGGCAAGATAACATGGAACCAGACATCAAGGTGGAGGGGATGATATATGATTATAGAGAGTGGGAAGTCAAGTACATCAACTTAAATAGGTCCTTTGTTGTTACCTTTTCAGGACCAGACCCTTGTAAACACACACACACACACACAAATAAAAACAAAGACACACATTTATGAACACACACACAAATATAAACACACAGACACACACACAAATATGAACACACACAAATAAGCACACATAGACACTCACACTCCTTCACTATTCAAAAAGACAATAGAATTCACGATATAGATATAGATATATATCTTAATTGTAAATGTGTTAGATAACCCACCAGTCTCTATTGGGAGAGACTGGAGGGTTGTCTAACACAATCACTGGATAGAGTTAAACTGGGGAAATAAGGACTATGGCAATTTAAATATTCCAAATGCATACTGAATTATTAACTTCTTATAAGGCCCCACTATCCCAGGCACTGTATAACGCTTAGTAATTACAGTACAGAGCTGTGGTTTTATTTATTTATTTATTTATAAAATATTTTTCCAGGAAAGATACATTGAGATTTCTCTCGTTTTCAAGTATGTCCTGGGTCCACAAAACATTGCATTGTTACATTAGGTCCAACAAAATACAAAAACAATATTAATACACAATATATACAAAATGTAACATAGAGCAGGTAGGAAATATATAATCAACCATGACACGTGCATTCTGTTTTGAGGTATGTAGAGAGGGATCTCTTAAAGGACTTTAGGCTTGGGGAAGATTTGAAAGTGTGCAAGAGGTTTAAATGCAGTGCAATAAATAATTACAAGTATGTGTATATATATCCTAAGCATTATTTAGTATTAACTAATGTTGGGCTTCTCGCTGCTGTTGGATTCACCAGATTTTCATGGGTCAAAGCAAACGAGGTGAAGAAACTGTAATTCCAGATTTATTGCAGGATAATGAAAGCATTTCTTTGCTCTGTTATTTTATGCAATATCTATCCTGTTCCTGCAGCTCGATGACACTGATATACAATCCTCATAACACACACTGATCATGGATTCCAAATATTACATTGCAAAGGTCAGGCCATTTATTATGCTGATAGTTTAGGGTGATGGGTGATGGGTTCGTCTGTTATTCTCTTAATTAGGCCAGTATACATATTATATACATTGCTCAACTCTCTTCTGCAGTTTTTATATCTTTTCTGTCTGGTGAACCTTATATATTTACATTTTTAGTATTTTTACTTGAAAGATTGCATTATTCTAATAAATAGTTATATATTATGCTGACTGGGCTGTTTCAGGAGCAGCATTGTATCTGGCGACATATCTGATGTGGCAGGAGAGTATTTGGCATAGGTAGCCTCTGTCTTAATTGTAACTGACATCATATGAAGCCGTATAGTCTTTATAACTGGTGTAGGACTCCAGGGTCTAATAGCATGTCCCTTTACTCTGCTCATCCTAGAGTCAGATGTAATATTTTATCATTTCATTTCATTCTGTGTAATGATGGGAGCATCCAATGTCAGATATGACCTGTTTCTAAAATTGTGATTGTTATCTGGACATATTTGCCGATCAGTTTCTTGGTATGATATGCACTCCTCCTCTTTGTGTGGGAGGATTAGGGCAGTAGGAGCTCATGGACATGGCCTATGTTAGAATTATTACACCAAGATGTATGTGTAAGCTGCAGACAGCAGAGTTCAGTCAAAATTCCTTGTTAGAGTAAAAATGGGTTCTGACTCCCTAAATTTTTTTCCTTAACTTATGTTTAGGAATGCAAGGTCTTCCAAATTCCCCCTGCTACCCCGTGAATCAAATCTCAGTCCTCAGATTGTAAGCTCATGGGCTATTTAGCTAAGCACTTTGTATAAAAGAGCGTAATAGTTAGATCTCAGCTCACGGCAGGGCCCTCTTTACCCACTGTGTTTGTCTGTGTATATTGTACGTTCTCCCTTAATTGTACACCGCTGCAGAATATGCTGGCGCTTTATAAATGCCAGTAATAAATAATAATAAATAAATAAAACATATAATAGGGGAAGTAGTGGACCAAGGATCTACACATTTTCTCTCACTAGGTGCACAATATACAAACTAACATCATACATTTGTTATGTTTGTGAGAGATACAACAATCAGATTAATAAAATTCAATTCACTTTATTTTTCTATAATTTTATTTTTGGAATTAATGCAATATAATATGAGATATGTTTCTGAGTGCTTTATAAACTTCACCCAGTAGTGAGTACACAGCTACGTGTGGCCATTCATAGAATACTTTGAATATAACCTTCTACATTCTGAAGTTATTCCAACAGGATGACCTGACATGTAAATCTGACCCCCGGGCTCTGTGAATTTTGCCTTTTTTTCTTTCATTTATGTGACTTTTTGTCTCATATTGTTTTTTTTGTTTTGTTTTGTTTCATTTGGTTTTTTTTTTTGCGATTTAAAAATCATTTAATGCAGCATTAGGCAAACTAAGTCATATTTTAACAAATTGTATTTGTAAGAGGGATTTTCTTTAACCTTGTAGGATAATAAAATGCTACAAACTCTCTCCCCTTGTTAGTCGCTCCCTGGTGTAACAATTGTCCCCTAAAAAAATCTATCACTGTCTCTCTGTTCAGAAATATATTTCACTCAAGTGTAAAATTTACCTTTGCTCCCGGTGAAGGTTTGTGAAATTCCCTTAGGACAATAATGAGTGGCATAGCCTATGGCATAACCGATAATATAAGCCATAAATCTTGGAAATGATGGCTTTACTATAGAGAATAAAATAGAAATGTATAGCAGGGGCAGTTGGATGGAGGCCAGGAAAACACAGCGCAATGAGACAGAGAATAGTGATGGATTTTATAGAGGCTTGTAAGTGACATTTCCCTCACAATATAAAGACGTGCTATTGCTTTTATTTTTGTTTATGAATATTATTATTTTTTTTACTTCCTTTAGGTGTGTTTTGCCTGTCTCACGAAAGCCAGCAGAACTGTGACACTGCCTGTCTTGTTCAATGCCCACCGGGCACTTATTATGAGTCTGGGAACTGCTGGGAATGTCAGTCAGGATATTAGTGAGTACGACAATGATTTCTGACGTTAGTAAGATAGCTTGAGATGTGTTTACCAGACCTTTATACACTTCATGTACTTTTACTGACCTTTTTGCCTACTTGGAAATAAAATCATCGTGCTATTGTATCCTTACACGACCTAATAATTCCATACCTCTCAAGTGACCCTGTTTAGGAGGCACAGTCCCTAATTTGAACCCAACCATTTTTAATGTCCTAATATCCATCTTTTCTTGGAGCTCCATATTGCATACCAGAGCTCCAGAGCAATAATACTCCCAGTAATGTGTCTGAGTGTATAACAGAGCTCCACAGCAAAAATACTCCCAGTAATGTGTCTGAGTGTAAAACAGAGCCCCACAGTAATAATATTCCCAGTAATGTGGCTGAGTGTATAACAGAGCTCCACAGTAATAATACTCCCGGTAATGTGTCTGAGTGTATAACAGAGCTCCACAGCAATAATACTCCCAGTAATGTGTCTGAGTGTATAACAGAGCTCCACAGCAATAATACTCCCAGTAACGTGTCTGAGTGTATAACAGAGCTCCACAGCAATAATACTCCCAGTAACGTGTCTGAGTGTATAACAGAGCTCCACAGCAATAATACTCCCAGTAATGTGTCTGAGTGTATAACAGAGCTCCACAGCAATAATACTCCCAGTAATGTGTCTGAGGGTATAACAGAGCTCCACTGCAATAATACTCCCAGTAATGTATCTGAGGGTATAACAGAGCTCCACTGCAATAATACTTCCAGTAATGTGTCTGAGTGTATAACAGAGCTCCACAGCAATAATACTCCCAGTAATGTATCTGAGGGTATAACAGAGCTCCACAGCAATAATACTCCCAGTAATGTGTCTGAGTGTATAACAGAGCTCCACAGCAATAATACTCCAGTAATGTGTCTGAGTGTATAACAGAGCTCCACAGTAATAATACTCCCAGTAATGTGTCTGAGTGTATAACAGAGCTCCACAGTAATAATACTCCCAGTAATGTGTTCGAGTGTATAACAGAGCTCCACAGCAATAATACTCCCAGTAATGTGTCTGAGTGTATAACAGAGCTCCACAGCAATAATACTCCCAGTAATGTGTCTGAGTGTATACCAGAGCCCCACAGCAATAATACTCCCAGTAATGTGTCTTTAAACTACAATAAACGGCGGGTGGTATAGAAAATCTGAACCTTTTTGCTGCTGTGATCGGATCAAGTTAAATAAATACTGTTTTCCAAAGGCTTTGAAAGTGACAATATGTGTGGTACAATGTGTTGTGTGTGTGTGTATATAATTCCATTCAGTAAATCGAGTGCACATCCCCAAAAACTGTGAATGACAACCTTTGGGGTCCAGGCTCCTGTTTAAAATATACAAGGGGAAATGGTTCCTTCCTTCTTCATATTTATTAAAGACGGAATAGGGTATAAAAAGTGGGCATGGAGGCATGGAGTTAAGCGAAAGCAGAAGGGAGTGAGTGTAGTCTAAATTAAGCCATGCCCCCTCCCCCTCAAAAACTGAACCGGGTCACAGAGACCCAATGACCTTCAAAAACTTGAAATAAGTGATTTCCCAACTTAATGCCACACAAGCCAGCGACATGAAAAGTCAATGCCACAGATGTATAATAAAGACTAATTTTAGAGACCTGGAAATTGTGCTCCATTAATTGCACAAATATGGAAAACTTTAAAAATATAATAATATTTTTATTTTACTTTTCAATCAGTTTCCCAGAATATGTTCCTAACAGACGCTGTAAATATGACATTCCTCAATTCTGAATTATTAAAAAATCGCTTTTGTGTCAGTTTGATTTTTTTTTCTGTAAAACCCTTCCAATAGATGTGATTGATGATTGATGGATGGCTATAATGTATCTTGGAGGTCACCGAGACAGAGGGCATGTACAATAACATAAATACGCAGATGTTATTGATTCATTGAAATGATCTTCCAGGGCAGAGACATTTATTAAGCTTGCATTTTATTTGTCCTTTATTGCCCTACATGCATATAATTTAAAACAATTCTGTGAAGATCTTATCCTCAAATACCAGAAAATGAAAACAACCATATTTTATAAGCATCCCTCGTTGGAGAAGATGCTGAAATGTGAAGTTCCTGAGGCTGTAAACCCCTCAGGCTTTGTATTGTCTGCGATGGACTTTTGCTGCACTAGTAAGGCACTAGGCCAATTATGATGCTTGCTCACTTAACGACCTATAGCCATATATCCCAAGTGTCCCTATTTTGGCACAAAATTTTTTTTATCTCCTAATGTCCCTCTTTTCTAGGACCTCCATATGGTTGGTGTGTCTCAGTGTATAATAGAGCTCCACAGCAATAATACCCCCAGTAATGTGTCTGAGTGTATAACAGAGCTCCATAGCAATAATACTCCCAGTAATGTGTCTGAGTGTATAACAGAGCTCCACAGCAATAATACTCCCAGTAATGTGTCTGAGTGTATAACAGAGCTCCACAGCAATAATACTCCCAGTAATGTGTCTGAGTGTATAACAGAGCTCCACAGCAATAATACTCCCAGTAATGTGTCTGAGTGTATAACAGAGCTCCACAGCAATAATACTCCCAGTAATGTGTCTGAGTGTATAACAGAGCTCCACAGCAATAATACTCCCAGTAATGTGTCTGAGTGTATAATAGAGCTCCACAGAATAATACTCCCAGTAATGTGTCTGAGTGTATAACAGAGCTCCACAGCAATAATACTCCCAGTAATGTGTCTGAGTGTATAACAGAGCTCCACAGCAATAATACTCCCAGTAATGTGTCTGATGTATAACAGAGCTCCACAGCAATAATACTCCCAGTAATGTGTCTGAGTGTATAACAGAGCTCCACAGCAATAATACTCCCAGTAATGTGTCAGAGTGTATAACAGAGCTCCACAGCAATAATACTCCCAGTAATGTGTCTGAGTGTATAACAGAGCTCCACATCAATAATACTCCCAGTAATGTGTCTGTGTGTATAACAGAGCTCCACAGCAATAATACTCCCAGTAATGTGTCTGAGTGTATAACAGAGCTCCACAGCAATAATACTCCCAGTAATGTGTCTGAGAGTATCACAGAGCTCCACAGCAATAATACTTCCAGTAATGTGTCTGAGTGTATAGCACAGCCCCACAGTAATAATACTCCCAGTAATGTGTCTGAGTGTGTAACGGAGCTCAGAGGGAAGGAGAGAAATAATGGACTTATAGAGCAAAACTAATTAATAAAAAAAACAATAACTAAATAGCAATAAATACCACCAGCCAGCGTCAATAACTGTAACCTAACGCACACATGGCACCTAATGTTTCATTTTAACAAATAATGCAGGTTCTTTACATCTATGCCTTTAATAAACGTTTGTCGTCTATAAAAAACAGACTCTGTGTTACTCTGCTGAGCTGTGAATTAGCAGCAATCTACCAGGAAACTGAACATTTTAGGCTCAAGAATTTTCCAGTCAGGTAGATTTCAAGTCTTCCAGCCTTCCTATTTTGGGGTTGGTTGGTTTCCAGTCTTCCTATTTTGGGGTAGGTTTCCAGCCTTCCTATTTTGGGGTACGTCTCCAGCCTTCCTATTTTGGTGTTGGTTTCTCCAGCCTTCCTATTTTGGGGTCTCCAGCCTTCCTATTTTGGGGTTGGTTTCCAGTCTTCTTATTTTGGGGTAGGTTTCAAGTCTTCCTATTTTGGGGTAGGTTTCCAGCCTTTCTATTTTGGGGTTGGTTTCCAGTCTTCTTATTTTGGGGTTGGTTTCCAGCCTTCCTATTTTGGGGTAGGTTTCAGCCTTCCTATTTTGGGGTTGGTTTCCAGCCTTCCTATTTTGGGGTTGGTTTCCAGCCTTCCTATTTTGGGGTTGGTTTGCCTTCCTATTTTGGGGTTGGTTTCCAGCCTTCCTATTTTGGGGTGGTTTCCAGCCTTCCTATTTTGGGGTTGGTTTCCAGCCTTCCTATTTTGGGGTTGGTTTCCAGCCTTCCTATTTTGGGGTAGGTTTCCAGCCTTCCTATTTTGGGGTAGGTTTCAAGTCTTCCTATTTTGGGGTTGGTTTCCAGCCTTCCTATTTTGGGGTAGGTTTCAAGTCTTCCTATTTTGGGGTTGGTTTCCAGTCTTCCTATTTTGGGGTTGGTTTCCAGCCTTTCGATTTTGGGGTTGGTTTCCAGCCTTCATATTTTGGGGTTGGTTTCCAGCCTTCCTATTTTGGGGTTGGTTTCCAGCCTTCCTATTTTGGGGTAGGTTTCCAGCCTTTCTATTTTGGGGTTGGTTTCCAGTGTTCCTATTTTGGGGTACGTCTCCAGCCTTTCTATTTTGGGTTCAGGTTTCCACCCTTCCTATTTTGGGGTTTGTTTCCAGCCTTCCTATTTTGGGGAAGCTATTTTGGGGTAGGTTTCCAGCCTTCCTATTTTGGGGTACGTTTCCAGCCTTCCTATTTTGGTGTTGGTTTCCAGCCTTCCTATTTTGGGGTAGGTTTCAAGTCTTCCTATTTTGGGGTTGGTTTCCAGTCTTCCTATTTTGGGGTAGGTTTCAAGTCTTCCTATTTTGGGGTAGATTTCCAGCCTTCCTATTTTGGGGTAGATTTCCAGCCTTCCTATTTTGGTGTTGGTTTCCAGCCTTCCTATTTTGGGGTAGGTTTCAAGTCTTCCTATTTTGGGGTTGGTTTCCAGCCTTCCTATTTTGGGGTAGGTTTCCAGCCTTCCTATTTTGGGGTAGGTTTCCAGCCTTCCTATTTTGGGGTAGATTTCCAGCCTTCCTATTTTGGTGTTGGTTTCCAGCCTTCCTATTTTGGGGTAGGTTTCAAGTCTTCCTATTTTGGGGTTGGTTTCCAGTCTTCCTATTTTGGGGTAGGTTTCAAGTCTTCCTATTTTGGGGTTGGTTTCCAGCCTTCCTATTTTGGGGTTGGTTTCCAGTCTTCCTATTTTGGGATACGTCTCCAGCCTTCCTATTTTGGGGTTGGTTTCCAGCCTTCCTATTTTGGGGAAGCTATTTTGGGGTAGGTTTCCAGCCTTCCTATTTTGAGGTAGGTTTCCAGCCTTCCTATTTTGGGGTACGTCTCCAGCCTTCCTATTTTGGTGTTGGTTTCCAGCCTTCCTATTTTGGGGTTGGTTTCCAGCCTTCCTATTTTGGGATACGTCTCCAGCCTTCCTATTTTGGGGTTGGTTTCCAGCCTTCCTATTTTGGGGTATGTCTCCAGCCTTCCTATTTTGGGGTTGGTTTCCAGCCTTCCTATTTTGGGGTAGGTTTCCAGCCTTCCTATTTTGGGGTAGGTTTCCAGCCTTCCTATTTTGAGGTAGGTTTCCAGCCTTCCTATTTTGGGGTTGGTTTCCAGCCTTCCTCTTTTGGGGTACGTCTCCAGCCTTTCTATTTTGGGTTCAGGTTTCCACCCTTCCTATTTTGGGGTAGGTTTCCAGCCTTCCTATTTTGGGGTTGGTTTCCAGCCTTCCTATTTTGGGGTTGGTTTCCAGCCTTCCTATTTTGGGGTAGGTTTCCAGCCTTCCTATTTTGGGGTTGGTTTCCAGCCTTCCTATTTTGGGGTAGGTTTCCAGCCTTCCTATTTTGGGGTTGGTTTCCAGCCTTCCTCCAGCCTTTCTATTTTGGGTTCAGGTTTCCACCCTTCCTATTTTGGGGTAGGTTTCCAGCCTTCCTATTTTGAGGTAGGTTTCCAGCCTTCCTATTTTGGGGTAGTTCCAGCCTTCCTATTTTGGGGTAGGTTTCCAGCCTTCCTATTTTGGTGTTGGTTTCCAGCCTTCCTATTTTGGGGTAGGTTTCAAGTCTTCCTATTTTGGGGTTGGTTTCCAGCTTCCTATTTTGGGGTAGGTTTCAAGCTTCCTATTTTGGGGTAGGTTTCCAGCCTTCCTATTTTGGGGTAGATTTCCAGCCTTCCTATTTTGGTGTTGGTTTCCAGCCTTCCTATTTTGGGGTAGTTTTCAAGTCTTCCTATTTTGGGGTTGGTTTCCAGTCTTCCTATTTTGGGGTAGGTTTCAAGTCTTCCTATTTTGGGGTTTTTCCAGCCTTCCTATTTTGGGGTACGTCTCCAGCCTTCCTATTTTGGGGTTGGTTTCCAGCCTTCCTATTTTGGGGTTTTCCAGCCTTCCTATTTTGGGGTAGGTTTCCAGCCTTCCTATTTTGGGGTAGGTTTCCAGCCTTCCTATTTTGGGGTTGGTTTCCAGCCTTCCTCTTTTGGGGTACGTCTCCAGCCTTTCTATTTTGGGTTCAGGTTTCCACCCTTCCTATTTTGGGGTTTTCCAGCCTTCCTATTTTGGGGTTGGTTTCCAGCCTTCCTATTTTGGGCCTTCCTATTTTGGGGTTGGTTTCCAGCCTTCCTATTTTGGGGTTGGTTTCCAGCCTTCCTATTTTGGGGTATGTCTCCAGCCTTCCTATTTTGGTGTTGGTTTCCAGCCTTCCTATTTTGGGGTTGGTTTCCAGCCTTCCTATTTTGGGGTATGTCTCCAGCCTTCCTATTTTGGGGTTGGTTTCCAGCCTTCCTATTTTTGGGTACGTCTCCAGCCTTCCTATTTTGGGTTCAGGTTTCCAGCCTTCCTATTTTGGGGTACATCTCCAGCCTTTCTATTTTGGGTTCAGGTTTCCACCATTCCTATTTTGGGGTTGGTTTCCAGCCTTCCTATTTTGGGGAAGCTATTTTGGGGTTGGTTTCCACCCTTCCTATTTTGGGGTACGTCTCCATCCTTCCTATTTTGGGGTAGGTTTCCAGCCTTCCTATTTTGGGGTTGGTTTCCAGCCTTCCTATTTTGGGGTTGGTTTCCAGCCTTCCTATTTTGGGGTTGGTTTCCAGCCTTCCTATTTTGGCCAACAACATGAATTTCCCTGGTCAGTTCCTGACACTTTCTGTTTTACTAAATAACCCTGACTATTTATCAATCGTTACATGATAATCTAGAAATTAAAAGTTCTATTACAGGTGGAATGTCCTGCACGGTAAGCTTGTTCTAAGTTCTCCAAGCTGTTACTCAGAGACTAATTTCCTCTGCAGAATTTCATATTTTACTGCATATTATCATTCCTTATTTTCTGCCTCCCCTGTGCTATCCAGAGAAATAATGTCAATGTTATTGGTTTTAGCATAAAATTGGTAGCTCTAGAGCTTCTTTGGAGCTTCTCTAGATTTATCTCACTCAGAGATGATTATGTGATGGGGTTTTGTCTTCTTAATAATGTTGAAACTGGACCCCAGAATTCTATATTATCTTCTCCTGTTCTGTTAGTTGCTCTGGAGGAACTTCAGCTCCTAGAAAATGCCCACCAGGAACAGCGAATCCTCTACCAGCTAAGGGAGACCTGCAAGACTGCCAGGTACGGTATTTAAATAAATGATGAAATATCAGAACTGTCTCGATAAGAAGGAATTTAACTCACCCAGATACTGACAGGCCAAAGTTGTTTTGTGGCCTAAAAAAATATTACGTAGCAGAACATAAAATTGAAATCTGTATTTTTATTGGATTGTAAGATTTTTTTTCAATGTATTAACTCATAATTATATTACGTTTCCCAGCATGCACGTGCATCCTTTTTCCTGACTGGCTGCTAATTTAGCTTTTTTTTAAATTTAATAACATCTAATAATCCTAAAATAGCCAAATTGTAGATATTGTTGGTATCCAGCTTGATAGTACTCATTTCATAGACCGTTATAATATATTGATATACTAAGAATCGAAAGTGTTACTCTGAGAACATAGCTGGACACATATCCACTAAGCTATATCACGGTTGGAGACATATCGACTGAGCTATCTCTACAGAAGGTACAGGACACCAGAGAGAGAGTTGGAGATTATTTGCTTTATCAACATATCTTAACAAAATGCTGAACTGTATAAAATAAATGTTAACACTTTGGAAAACATAGTTGGGTAATTTTCGTTATCTCAATTTAGAATTTTGCTAATGCAGGACTCTTTAAATATTTATAATGTATATTTTTTATTGACCGTTCCTATGTTTATTGTTTGTTTTTCCAGACTTGTCCTTCTGGCTCTATAAGTACAGATTCCAGAGCTGACTGCAGACCATGCCCGATAGGATTTTCTTGTGACCCCATGACAGGCCATTTGGATCACTGCAAGCCCAGTCAGTATTCTCTGGAGGGAGAACTGCATTGTTCCGAATGCCCTGATGGATTTGTGTGCCCTGATGGTCGTCACTGGGAGGTATTTACCACGACTCTTAGCTAAGAATAAAGCCGGTCAAATTTGAATTTGATTGTCTATGTCGCCATGATCCGTACTCTCATAGTGCCATTTGTGTTTAATTCTTACCTTTTATAATTACATTGTAAGGTGATGCATCACAAATCTCTTAAAATATTTGGTTTTCTAATGGATTTAATAGGATCGATTGCATATTATGTAATAGCTTATGGGTACTTCAGATACGTTGAGGCTTGCACACCTCTTGTAGGTCACAGATGGATCTCTGTATGAAGAAAACCATGGATACAGATAGAATGTTTTATTGTTTTTTCTTATAATAATTTTTATGTTGGTTATACGATTGCAAATCTCCCCCATTGTGAATCAGTTGCAATTATTTTTGCATCCTAGTTTGGCCATCCATTCACACTAACCATAAACTACTAGCTTTTAGTGCGTAATCGACTAACTTAACCTCTAAATCGGAAACTCAGATATCTAATCTTCTTGCTGTAATCCCTCAGCAGATTCAGTTTCATATAAAACAAGAAAGTACTGGTTACAAGACAATAAACAATATAGTTTTAAAAAGTTCAGCTTGTTTGTTTCTTTAAAAAAGAAAACAAAAAAGATATATATTTAAGGTTTCCAAACTCCATGGTGGTTGTATTTTGTACCATGATCAGTCCTGTGATAATTGTATCATATTAATAAGATTTCATGCAGACATTTTCTATTCCATTGTGGGGACCCCGTACAGAAGTTAATGTTTTTTCTTTTCCTTTCTAGTTATGTCCGCCAGGAAAGGAACCGGCACAGAACCGGGCTCACTGCATCGACTGCCTCCCTGGATTCTTCTCTACAAGAGATTCTCCAAAATGTGTTCCCTGTTTACCAGGTATAACCTGATTTATATTGACTGGGTACTGATATATTCATGAGGTAATAATATTAGATAATGTGGTGGGTATAGATGCTGTTGATGAGAAGCATTCAATCCATTGAGGAGAACTTGTTGAGTTTTTTTTTATTTGTTTTATTTAGTTTTTTGTTAATTTGTTTCATTATTGAATTATAATGAGACATTGGGAAAGAAATGCTAAAACATTTTATTAGTGAAAAAGTGGGACAATGTTCTGAATGAGGAGCGATCCTCATGGAGAGCTATGAATTCAGATGGCGCATTCTGTATCTTTTTTCATGGTGATTTACTGGGTAAACTTTGACCAACCTTTCTATAAGTGATACTTTTGTATTTCTCCCCCACTGCCCTGCACTGCAATTATTCATGCTTCCCATCATTAACACTTGTCACTGGGTTTTAACTATTAACCAGCTTATCAAACTGATAAATGACAATTAATACCATTAAATCCTGTAATATTTATAGCCTAATCTGTTAAACTTCAACCTCAAAAAGTACATTTTCCAGATTTAATTACCTATCACTAACCAGCTAATCAGCTAGCATTAATCACTTAGCACTAACCAGTCAAGTTAGCAGTTAAATGGTTACCTAACCCAACCAGCTAATTCTGTAGCCTTAATCACAGAGTTCAACCTGACTCTTTCTTGTTAGTTTGATTTGCACCACCATTACATGTATATTATATGTTTAAATCTATTTATCAGTCGTTATGCCACCTTTCCATGGAAACTGCATTTTTTAAGGATTAATTTCATCAGAACATTTCATATTCAGTGGAGAAGTTATTAGATTAACTTGTGGTTCGAAGAAATTCATACAAAGATGTCTCTAGCCATCTCTTCAGGATATAATGTTTATATTGTGCATAGAAATTCACTTAGCTTATCACCAGATTATCACAAACCCCGGTTTCATTGAATTTAACTGATTTTCCATTAATATCTTAGGTAAGCTAGTGTTGCTTTGTTTTTACTCTACCCTGAAATAAAGACTTTTAATGAGGCAATAAAGTAGTTATTGGACCCAGTGAGGAGATAATGAAGTTGGTAATTAGACCCTCTCATTAAATAATGAAGCGTTTGTCGGAGCTTTAGAAGCAGAGACTGGCTGGACAGAGACAAAGATGTGCCAGGACAGGACAACATGTAGAATGACAACATGTAGACTATGAACCCCACTTACTGGGACATTAATAACCTTCTGACATATCGACACCCTATTTCCACCCTATCCCAGTATTGTCCGAGACAAGGCACATAAGGGACATACTGGCTCTTTTAACCCGCAAAAAGATGTCCTTGCTCTGACTTATTAACTATAAGCAAACACAAATAATGTTATTCATTCCATGTTAAGTGGATTTCACATTGAAGGAACATTCTGAGTTGAGTTTAGACTCTCTGTATTATTGCATTTTATTGTATTCAAATATTATAGATATCATTAATTAAATGCATTTTCATGTTTTTCTTTTAAAATAATAATAATAATAATTGGGTTTGCTGGTGCAGGTTTTTTTTCTTGGTATCTGATCTGAATCCTGTGTATGTCAAATCATGTAGGAATTATGTACCTTACTGTAAAACTCAATTGGTCTTAACACTATCACAATGAACTAAACCAAAGTTGTCTTTTTCCTTTTTTTCTAGGGAGCTATTGTCCTGATGTTGCTAAAATGTATCAATTTATTCACCCCATTGGTTCATTGAAGAATGGCCAAGGAGCATTTAATTCCTGTATCTGTATTAACGGCACCCCTAGTGAGGACACAGCAGAACCACGTCGATCAAACACAGATACAATTACCTGCTCCCCTGGGTATTATACCTCTCTGGCAGGACATCAGGACTGTCAGTCATGCCCTTCAGGTACGATACTATATGGACATTGATTGAAGAGGTAGAAATTAGATAGTGCTGGATAGTTGCAGTTTTTTCCATGCATTCAACCAAGTCTTCAGTAGACACAAGAAGCAGGTCAAGGGGATTGATGATGAGAGATTGTTTTAAAAGTTTATATTACGTAAAAAACAAATGTAGTGGGAGTTTAAATACAGAACTTCTTTTGAGTTACTAAAACTAAATGTGACTGTGACAGAGTATTATAGTTATAGAGTTGCATAGGCTGAAAAGAGACATGCGTCCATGAAGTTCAGCCTTTCTCCCGTTTTTGCTGTTGACCCAAATTAAAACAAAAAACCCAGTTTGCAGTGCTTTCCAATTTTGCAACAAACTAGGAAAATGTTATTTCTTGACCCCAGAATGACAGTCAGATCTCTCTTTGGATCCAGAAGCTATTACCCCACTAATTAAAAATGATATCCCTGTATATTATTTTTTCACAAATATTCATCCAATGGCTATTTAAACATGTGTATAGACTATGATAAAACCACCTATTCAGGCAGAGAATTCTACATCCTTATTGTTCTTACAAAAAAAACTTTCCTTTGTCTTAGACTAAATCTCCTTTCTTCAAGTCTAAATGTGTGACATTGTGTCCTATGTATACTCCTGTTTATGAATAGATTGGCAGACAATGATTTGTATTGCCTTCAATATTTAATGGTAAATTTACAAGTTGGACAGAGGTGGCAAGTGGTGTCCCTCAGGGTTCTGTTCTGGGACACCTTCTATTTAAAAAAGTTTATAACTGATCTTGAAAAAAGCATTGAAAGTCATGTTTCAGTGTTTGAAGATGACACAAAATTCTGTAAAGTAATAAAATGTGAGCAAGATATTACTTTGCTGCATAGGGATTTAGATAGACTGGGGGATTGGGCACTCAAATGGCAGATGAAATTTAATGTAGAAAAATGCAAAGTTATGCACTTCAGTGTAAAGAACGCACAAGCAACTTATACCCTTAATGGAAGTGAATTAGGGATAACAACACACGAGAAGGACTTGGGAATTGTTATAGACAACAAACTATGCAACAATGTGCAATGTCAATCAGCAGTGGCCAAGGCCAGTAAGGTATTGTCATGCATGAAAAAGGGCATTCATTCTCGGGACGAGAATATCATTTTGCCTCTTTATAAATCGATGGTAAGACTGCATCTTGAATATGCTGTGCAATTTTGGCACCTGTTCTAAAGAAGGATATTATGGCACTAGAAAGAGTGCAGAGGCGGGCTACAAAATTAATAAAAGGAATGGAACATTTTAGCTATGAAGAAAGGTTAACAAATTTAAACCTCTTTAGTTTACAAAAACGTTGCCTCAGAGGGGATATGATAACATTATAATAAATTATAACAAATATATCTGAGGCCAATACAAACCATTGTGAGAAAATCTATTCACAAACAATATTTTACATTGGACACGAGGTCATGTGTTTAGACTGGAAGAAATAAGATTTTGTCTAAGGCAAAGGGAAGGGTTTTTTTTTACTGTAAGAACAACAAGGATGTGGAATTCTCTGTCTGAAGAAGTGATTTTATCAGAGTCCATACAGATGTTCAAACAGCTACTAGATGCATACTTTCAAAAACAAAATATTCAAGGATATACATTTTCAATGTAGGGTAATAACTGCTTGATCAAAGGATAAATCTGACTGCCATTCTGGGGTCAAGAAGGAATTTTTCTAGTTTGTTGCAAAATAGGAAGCGCTTCAAAGTGTTTTTTTTGCCTTCTTTTGGATCAACAGCAAAAACATATGTGAGGAATGCTGAACTTGATGGGCACAAGTCTCTCTTCAGCCTTTGTAACTATGTAACTATGAATATATTTGTATACTGCTATCATATCCCATTTAAGGCTCTGTTTTTCTAAACTGAACATCCCGTGTCAAACAGAAACACAATTTTTAAAACTACTGGCAAACTGCAGTTATTGTAAAAAGACTAGTAGTGCTAAATGTGTTTTTTACATATATTTTAATTCCATTTGTAAATGCTTTATTTTATCAGAGAGAGAGGCATGTTGCATAACTGAAAAGAAAGTTAAAGAAGCTCTGTTATGTTTTTCAATTTTCCTTTCATTATGCTCCTTTCCTCTTAATGATTATACTCACCTCTTTGCCACTTTATTTATATTCATTATTTTTTCTTCTTTGCACCGAATCCTAATACCTGGGCGCCTCCATTTTGTTTTCCTCTGCCCAAGATATCATTTAGTCGCCTTCTGTGGGATTTGTCTTACTGATGGATTGTGGGTAAATTAGCGTAGGAACTGAAATGGAGTTTGCTTAAGCTTCGCCCATTGCCAACGGTCACATTACCAAAATATGCAAAATGTCACAGTCACCATGAAAAACAATAGCTCCTACTTTATCTTATGTGTAAATAAAAAACTATGTTGAATTTTAAAAAAAATATAATCAAGGACACAAATAAATATTCGTTTTACTTCTGTCTTTGACTCCTTATGATATAAGGTCTGTCTTTTCTGTTATTTAAAAATGGAAAAAAAAAAGGCTTTGCGCCTGTCAGTCAGTGTCAAGACCTTCCCACAAATTGCTTCCCACATCTTCACAGAGGTCAAGATAATCGATGTCCATGAGGGAGTATAGGGCGAGGAGAAACACAAACAATGCAAAGCATGCCCTGACCTTGTCTGGACTGGATTGTGATTGCCAGAAGTAATATCATTATTAACCATCAGAGATAATTTCCATAGATCTACTGAAACATATAATACTCCATTAATATACATATAATAACATATATAAATTACTATATTTCTAAATTGTATTTAAAATAAAATAGAGCGTCATACAAAGATAGGTGAAAACAAGTCATGGGTGATGTTTAATGTTTTTTCCATGGTGAAAGTTTTAAAGTAGTGACAGATGAAAAGCAACATTTTGGCCTACAATAGGGCCTTAGTCAAGCAAAGGCCCTGTTGTGGGCCCAAATAATGCTTTTCCTCTGCTCCAATAAACCTGCTCACTGGATTTACCTTGAGTGCCTGGACCATCATTTATTTTCCGCAAACCACCTTGTGAGGATTGGTCAAACTCAGGTCCAGTTGCCCCATGGGATCCAGAAGAGTGTGGTATCATTTACGGTAATTACATTGAAGGTCTTCTGAACTGCCTGCATTTCAGCCAACATTCTCTGTAATTTGATCCAAAAAAGCTTGCTCTCAGGACAGAAAACTAAGGATGCTAATTTGCCATATGCCCTTAGAACCTACCTGTATCTAGTCTACAGATCGAGCTTAGTGCCGATTTTAAAACAATTTTTCTACACATCTAGAAATCTATGTGTTTGGTTGCCAAAATGCATAGATCAAATCTTTAACAGATTAAAACAGGAAATGCCATTATGTGTTATTATCAAATAAATAATCAATCTAATTTCTAATCAATCTGTCTAGTGCCAAATAAGGAGAGCCTCTTGGGCTTACTGAGGGGTTAATAATTTAAAAAGCAATATCTCATGAAAATGCTAATATTGTGCTTATCGTAGTAATCTGTTTAAACTCGGTTTCTATCTTCAGGTCATTACTGTTCAGATGGCATTCTGAAAATACCCTGCCCTGCTGGCACATATTCCGAGAAGGAAGGGTTACAGCACCAGAATCAGTGCCGCCTGTGCCCAGCGGGTCAGTATAGCTTGATGAAGGAGTTACAGGAATAAGAGAGTAATTTTCTAACTTCATGTTTCATATTTCATATTTATAATGTATATTGTTTTCATTTATATTTCACAATATTAGGGTACTATTGTTTAGAAGGAACAACGAATCCTCCAGGAGTGGAATATTTGTGCCCAGAAGGATTTTATTGCCCTATTGGTACTAGAAGTTCCCATGCGTATCCATGCCCAGCTGGTACCTACAATGACAGACTTGGACAAGGGCACCGGGGCAGCTGTAAAATCTGCTCAGAAGGGCTTTTCTGCCAGGAAGGTACCCAGTGCCCAGTTAATGCGTTTCCCTCTCTGGTGAATCAATGCATTCGGATACAGTATTCGCAAACAAAATGCCATTTGTTTAGTGTGCTTATCACAACCTCTCTCTTTCTTTAAGTATATATTAAACACTTTTGAAACCATTGGGGGTGAACTCTTATGCTTATCACAATCTCTGTCTATCTTTATGTATATATTAAACACTTTTGAAAACATTGGGGGTGATCTCCGAGACCACTTCAATGGTTTTCTTAGTAAAAATGGGTTAAAATAACAGATTATCTCCAATTCCCCGCAGTATCTAAAACTGAAGTCTGAGTGCTGTGTGATTCTTTTCTCCACAGGTTCCAACCTCTCTGGATCTCCGTGCTCTCGGGGGAAGTTCTGTCCCGCTGGGACCAGTCGTGAGCAAGACTGCCCCCCAGGAACTTTAACCTCCCATATGGGAGCGTCAAGTATGTTGACTTACAGGAAACAATTAAATGTTACAGACTAAGTACCTTTTACTATTTACCTTCATTGAATCATATTTTGTGACATACTAACCCACTATTCATCATTAAAACATACATTTTAAATTGCCAGAGAGAAACACTTTTATTTAAAGGGTGTGGCTGGGGTGGGGCAATCCCTCCATCAACCAAACATTCGCAACCTGTATCAATTATGTAGCACTTATTTCCTGATTAAACTAATGTGACAATGGATGTGCTATTAGGTGATTCTGTAACAAAAGAGGAGCTTCTAGCAACAATTGCCAAGGCACCTATAGAAAGAATTAGTTATAAAAAATGTCCGTCAATTGTCACACACATTAAATGAGACAAAAAAAGTGACGTTTCTGTGATAGTTTGCTAAAGAGGTCATTACGGAGACATGACACACCCTTTAGCATGAATGGCATAATTTCATTTTGAAAAACCAGTGCAGCAGTGAGCATGTCAAATATGAAAGAAAACAAAACGTATAAAGTCTCATTTTAGATTAAATTCAAATCATTAC